AACCTTAATTTGCCAAAGGCAAAAATTCTGGAGTTTGATTTGGTATAAAATGCTGTATTCTATGGAGCCAGCACATGGCCGGCCATGGTTCGAGCCCTGAACCTGGCAACTTGATTTCTCACTTTCTCAGTTTCTCTCTCTGTCACTGTCCCTCTCCAGTCAAAAAATCAATACATAAATATATAAAGTTAAATAAAATAACTCTTTAAAAAAATGCTGTATTCTAAAACTGAAAGATTGATTAGTACTCAGCTAAATGCTTGCCAAAAATAGCATAGAACTTTAATTTTCTTGTCTTATGTAGTGGGAATCCAGAGATACTCTAAAATTAATGAGTCTACAAATAAATATTTAAAGATATGAAAGTGATGATGGCAGAACTGAAAATAAAAGTATCATTGGAAGGGGTTGGTCAGAGGAGGTGGTTTAAGTGCCCTAAACTTACTCTTTCTAGAAAAGTGATGAATTTTTAAAATTGATAGATCAAGATTTAGGGAGTCAAAGCATAATAAGCTGTTTTTTACTTTTTATTTTATGTTTTTCCATATTATTCTAATGTTATTTTCTTTTTGGGGGGGCAGGGGAGAGGTTTTCACTATAGGGCGTGTGCACTTGCCAGAAAGACAGAGACAGCGAGAGAGCAGCACCCCCCCACCCCCCCATCCCCCACCCCCAGGAGGGATAGCCACGGTGGCTCAGTCCCTTCTCCTCCATTCTCCTCTCGGGATCTTGGGCACGCACGCACATGCACATGCGCCCGTCGTGAGTTTAAGCCACTGGGTCCGGGACTCAATCCATGGTCGGCTTACATGGGAGTTCAGTGACAGCCATTACGCTAACTGCTGGTCCCTATTCTAATGTTATTTTCTTAGCAAATGGATGAATTTTCTTTTCTTCTCCTATCCCTGACAAAAGTGAAAACCCAAAACAAGGTGAAATTATGTACGGAATATTAAAGAAAGCTTGTTTCGAGGAAGAGAAGTTGGCAAAATTCTCCTTCATACTTAATAACAGACTCGAGGTTGAGGCGTAACTGCCTGTCCTGAATTTCTGAAACTCGAAAGAGTAAGGGGAAATAGGTTATTTAGGAGGATGCTAGGGACTGGCTTTACTGAACAGTATTCATACCAGGATTTTTCAGTTCTGTAAACTTGATTTTCTCAGATTTGAGACCAAAAAAGTGTTTGAGGGACCACCAGATGATGTAATAGTTACTTTTACTCGACTCCATGTAGTTGACTGTGGTTCAAATACTGGACCCAGCGGCTTAAAACTCATAATAGGCGTGTGCGTGCCCAAGATCCTGAGAGGAGAATGGAGTAGGGATTTCGGCGTGACTATTCCTCCGGGGGACGATTTCTCACTTTCTGTCTCTGTCTGTCTCTCCAAAAAGCACACGCACCCCGTAGCAAAAAATCTCTCTTAAAAAAAATTGACGCGAAACTCCTGTACTTTCAATAAAAAATCTCCTTATGGTATAGTAGCTATGATCTCAGCGAAGTTAATCTTGAAAATTTCTGTAGTCTCTGTATTTTATGGGAATACAACTAATTGTCGAAGAAAATAAACTTTAGGAATGGTAAATTCCAGTTGTCCTCTGCCGTTCTCTTATAAGGGAGGTGTGAACAGTGTACCAGCGTAGTAGAGAGCCTGCCAGTGGATGCTCATAATTTCTCCTTTGTTCCCGTTTGAGCAGAAGAGGATAAGCGATTAGATATGAGAGTTGCACGTTGCGAACTTTGTACTGTTATTGTTGAGTCTTTTGTGAGAGAACCTTCTTAAGGAAATTGTAGCCATGACACCATTAACAAAGGGGAGCTTTGATATATCTGTGTCAGTGTAGCAAGCCAGTGCTGGTGGGTGACCCACAGCGAGCGGCCTGCTCTGAGTCTGTCATGGAAGGACAGTGCTTGGCTCTGATGTGGTCTCTGCTCATAAGATGTGCATCACTGAGAGCTTCATTTTGAAGTTTCGTAGGAGACCTTTTATTTTTCTACTCAGAGAAGGTCACCGGAAGTGCCTGCAGCAGGGAGAGAGGGGACTGCCAAGCAAAGGGGAAAGGGTCAGCAGTCGTGGGGAGGCCAGCAGCTGGTGGGGTTAGGGTGCTGGCCTGCCACACGGCCAACCTCACTGAGTCTGGGACATGGCGGCTGGGCATACATGCATGTGTGCCCACATTCTTGAGAGGGCCCCTCCTGGGGGGGTGCTTTCTCATTTCTCCTCTCTCTGGCTCTCTCCCAGGAGCACACGGACCCTTAGGCAAAAACCTAAAAAAAAAAAAAAAAAAAGATATGGGAAAGGGGCAGACAAATGTTAGAAAAAAGACAGGAAGCTGCCATCAGCAGTTCAGCCTGGTGCTGCGGCCCTTCACCGTCTGTCTGTCCTTCTATGGGCAGTGGAAGCTCCCGTAATGGTAGTGGCCTGGAAGTTTGGATTTTAGACAGGATAAGGTTAATGTGCGGTTCTTTATCTTACGGAGAAATACATTCACAATATCCTGTGTAGATTGCTACAAAAGGTGAATTGCGGGGCCTGTCGTGTTGGAGAGCACCCACCTGAGTGCAGTGTGTGCTGTACTCCCACGGCTCCTCACAGCTACTGGTCCTAAACTAGTAGCGGGAAGGACCATACTGTTCCTTGTCCTGAATATGGGGTTTCCCCCAAAGTGTATGCTAAGTAATACATTCCTTTTCCCTAGTGTCTGCTACTAGGCTGTACGATACGTGGTTGTGTAATTTTAGATATCAGAGGAACAAGGAATAATCCTTCTTCCTGTTCCACATTGAATTCTAAATGTGTCGGGTGCATATGAGGCACCTTCCGTGTGTGAACTAGTCAGAGAGGGCTGGGACATCATCTTGTATGTCAGGAGTTTGGAGCCAGGTAGAATAGAGGTGGTCACCACATAACTCATAGCTGTAAGGAAAGCAGAGTATCTCGGTAGTAAAAGAGAGACTAGTATTTCTAGCCTGATGGCGTTAGGAAACAAATCACTTTCCAAACATTGGCGACTGAGAGTTCATTTTGGCATAAAGGTAGACTTGGTTTGTGTTACTCTCTGGTCCTGCTGCTGCTCTTGTTCTGGAGGTGGTGCTGATGGAGGGAGGGTAGTACAAAGACAGTAGCAATAGGCCGCTTAACAGCCCATAGACTGCTCAGTTGTGCCTCGGGTAGCTGCCAGGTCCAGAACTCAAGCCACGGTTGGCCATGTGGGAGTCCAGTGTTTTGTTTTTTTAAAGAGACTTTTGCTGTAGGGCGCGTGCGCTCGCCGGAAAGAGAGAGACAGAAAGTGAGAAATCACCCCCTGGGGGGATGGACACACCGCAATCCCTTTTCCCCCATTCTCCTCTCGGGATCTTAGGCACTCACACACATGTGCCCAGCATGAATTTAAGCCACTGGGTCCAAGACTCAAACCACGGTCGACTACATGGGAGTTCAGCGACATAGCCATTATGCTAACTGCTGGTCCCAGGGTCCAGTGCTCTTAACCACCACACCACCTGCTGGCCCCTGCTGGTCAGTTAAGGTAAATGAATAGCTGATAAAAACATTTTTCCAGCATTGACTTCTGAATTTTTATGACTATCAGTTATATAAGGCATTATAAGAGATGTAGGGTGGCCAGCAGGTGGTGTGGTGGTTAGGGTGCTAGACTCCCACATGGCCAGCTTTGCTGATTGAGTCTTGGACATGGTGGTTGGGCACATATGCGTGCGTACCCAAATTTCCTCTCCCTGATTATATTTTTAAAAGATTTTATTTAACTTTCTTTCTTTATTATTATTTTTATTATTTTAATATTTCCAGAGAGAGAGAGAGAGGTGGGGGGAATGAGAAAGCAAGCCTCTAGGTCCAGTACTTGAATCAAGGTCAGCCATATGGGAGTCCAGTGCCCTTAACTACCATGCCACCTGTTGGCCCCTTATTTAGTTTTTTTGTTTAAGAGAGATTTTTGGGGTAGGGCGCAAGCATTCGCCAGAGAGACAGACAGAAAGTGAGAGATCACCCCCTCAGAGGGGATGGACATGCCTCAACCCCTTCTCCATTCTCCTCTAGGGACTTTGGGCACACACGCCCCTGGCATAAGTTTCAAGCCACTGGGTCAAGGACTTGAACTGAGGTCAGCTATGTGGGAGTTTCAGCGACAAAACCATTGCGCCGTTTGCTGGTCCCACTCCCCAGTTATTTTAATACTATTAAATAATACAAAATATTTAACACTTAGTACTGTCTAAGTGTCAAATTCTTTTCTGCATGCTTCACATATATTTAATCATGTCAACTCTGAGGTAAGTACTATTTTACCTCCATTTTCTAGGTACAAAAACTAAGGTTAACTGACTTGTCCAGAGTTACCAGCTAAGGACAGGTTGAGTTGGGATTTGAACCCCAGGCAGTCTGGCTCCAGAGTCCATGACGTTAACCAGTAAACTATGCTTTCGTAGATTGTGAGCAGTATATGGAGAATTGGGAGTGTGGTGTTTCTGGTGGGAAGTGAACATGTTCTCTGTCTTGGGTCTTGCCACAGCTGGGAGGCCCTCCTCTCTCTACTGTGGGACGTACGTGGCAGAGGAGACAGACATCAGGAGGAACGCCTGCTCCTCGCTTCCCCCTGTCTCTCAGTAGTCTTTCTGTGGTGGTCACATAGCAGTTCTGCATGTAATAGCTATTGTCCGGTGCTTGACTTGCAGAGAAGATGGAATTGGCCTGATGCTAGGTGGGTAGTGTGTTTTCAGCCTCTTTCATCCAATAATGTGAAGCATGCTTTTGTTTGTCATTTTCAGTGTGATACAGTTTGATTTAAGACACATTCATGATAGTAGTTTTCAAGCACCATTAACTAAAAAAATAACATGATATAATAAAACAACTTTAGATTCCAGGTGTGAACAGTTGCCTTGAATATTCCACTCTGGTGCAAAGGTGGGTGCTTCTGTACATTTCAGGATACAAAAACAGCCTAATTTTTAACCTCTGTCCACTTGTTTTGTTTATAGGACCCCTAAGGACTCTACAATATGAATAATTCTCTGGAGAACACCATCTCCTTTGAAGAGTACATCCGAGTGAGGGCGCGGTCTGTCCCACAGCACAGGATGAAGGAATTTCTGGACTCGCTGGCCTCTAAGGGGCCAGAAGCCCTTCAGGAGTTCCAGCAGACGGCCACCACTACCATGGTGTACCAACAGGGTGGGAACTGCATTTACACAGACAGCACCGAAGTGGCTGGATCTTTGCTTGCAGAGAAGATGGAATTGGCCTGATGCTAGGTGGGTAGTGTGTTTTCAGCCTCTTTCATCCAATAATGTGAAGCATGCTTTTGTTTGTCATTTTCAGTGTGATACAGTTTGATTTAAGACACATTCATGATAGTAGTTTTTCAAGCACCATTAACTAAAAAAATAACATGATATAATAAAACAACTTTAGATTCCAGGTGTGAACAGTTGCCTTGAATATTCCACTCTGGTGCAAAGGTGGGTGCTTCTGTACATTTCAGGATACAAAAACAGCCTAATTTTTAACCTCTGTCCACTTGTTTTGTTTATAGGACCCCTAAGGACTCTACAATATGAATAATTCTCTGGAGAACACCATCTCCTTTGAAGAGTACATCCGAGTGAGGGCGCGGTCTGTCCCACAGCACAGGATGAAGGAATTTCTGGACTCGCTGGCCTCTAAGGGGCCAGAAGCCCTTCAGGAGTTCCAGCAGACGGCCACCACTACCATGGTGTACCAACAGGGTGGGAACTGCATTTACACAGACAGCACCGAAGTGGCTGGATCTTTGCTTGAACTTGCCTGTCCAGTCACCACCAGTGTTCAGCCACAGACCCAGCAAGAACAGCAACCGGTTTCACCAGCCACAGCAGGTCCAGGTAAAATGGAAATATTGAGGTGTAGTGTGTTTAATATACATTTTTTGCTCTCTAGGTCTTGGTTAGTAGGAACATTGCATCTACATGTATGTTAGAGGCTGTTTTCACTGCAGGAATCTCACACTTTTTTTTTTTTTTTTTTTTGAGAGAGAGAGAGAGAGAGCAAGCTGTCAGGTTCGGGACTCCCAGCATAGTCGGCCATGTGAGAGTCTAGCACCTTACCCACCTCACCACCCAGGAATCTCAAAACTTTTTAACAGTTAATTCTTCCATAGTTAATATGGACTAAAAATATCTTCAACCACTTTAAAAAGACCATGATGCTGTTTGCTTTGGAAGTTGACTAATATAGAAGTTATAGGTCTTCTGGAACTGTATTTGAGTATGACAGCAAAATGTGACTGAGGCTTCCCTTCTCTCTGTCAACCTGAGCAGAGACAGTACATAAGAGGGCTAGTCTTGGCTCATTAAAAAAGCATGGCATTCAGGATTTGTTTTAAAAAGGAAAGGCTGAGGGAACCAGCAGTTAGCGTAATGGCTATGTTGCTGGACTCCCACGTAGTCGACCACGGTTCGCGTCCCGGACCCGGTGGCTTGAAACTCACGCCGGGCGCGTGTGCGTGCGTGCCCAAGATCCCGAGAGGAGAATGGAGGAGAAGGGATTGCGGCGTCACCATCCCCCCGGGGGGTGATTTCTTGCTTTCTGTCTCTATGTCTGTCTCTGTCTGTCTGGCGAGCGCACGCACCCTACAGTGAAAATCTCTCAAAAGAAAGAAAGAAAAAAAAAAAGGAATGGCTGATATATTTTAGTGATCTTCATTTAGTTGTGTGGTTTTGTAACTCATATCACATGTAGATTTCTAGGCCTGTGTTTGCTACTTGTAAGTCTCAGGAAATAACGTTAATTGAAAATAAATTTGATGAAAGGAGAAGCTAATGTATTTGCTGACAAGGAAAGGTTTTTGTTTCGTTTAATGGGAAACAATAGTATTCTCCCCTGCAAGCACCGTTTTCTTGCCACTTGAATTTTATTTTACCCTTTTTCTATTTTTGAGAGATTTTTGCTGTAGGGCATTTGCGCTGGCTGGAGAGACTTCAAGAGAGACAGAACACAAGAAATCATCCTATGGGAGGATGGCCATGCTGCAATGCCTTCTTTTCCATTTCCCTCTCAGGATTCTGGGCACATGTGCACACACTCCTGGCATGAGTTTCAAACTGCTAGGTCTGGGATTCAAACCATCTTTGGTTATGTAGGAGTCCAGCAGTGTAACCACTATGTTGTCTACTGGCCTGAAGTTTCATTTTACTCTTGATGCTTTTTCTTCTTTTCTTTTTTTTTTTAAAGAATTATTTTATTTAGCTTGATTTATTTATTTTAATTTGACCAGAGAGGGACAGGGAGAGAGAGAGGGAACCTGAGAAAGCAAGACACCAGGTCCAGTACTCAGACCACGGTCAGCCATGTGGGAGTCCAGCGCTCTTACCTACCATGCCACCTGCCAGCCCCTCTTGATACTTTCCACCAAGAGGAAAGGTGAAGGAATTGAACATAATGGAGAGTGAGAGTGTGGAGAGGTATGTCTGGTGAGACAGAAGGTTTGAAAGTAGCCCAGTTCCCTCAGGAGTGCAGTGGTATATTGGAAGGACATGGGCTCTGAAACTGTATTCTTGGGTTTTAATTTGGCTTAACCATTTAGTTGTTGATACAGTCTTAATCTTTTTAGCCTCAGTTTCTCCATATGTCAAATAGGGACAATACCATTTAGTGAGACTGGATAAAATAACAGAAACAGCTGACATGTGGGAGGATGCATTGACTGCATGTTCCGGCCTTAGGAACAAGGTAGATAAAAGAAGAGTTACTTTTTGGCTCAGATTATTCTGCTGAGCCAGCCAGTCAGGTGGCGTGGTGGTTAAGGAGGCTGGATCCCATATGGCTGACCATGGTTTGAGTACAGGACCTGGCGGCTTGATTTCTCACTTTCCCTTTCTCTCTCATGTTTGCTCTTGCTTTCACTCTGCCCCTCTCTGGTTAAATTTAAATAAATAAAGTTAAATAAAATAATTAAAAAAAACCCACACTAGGCGTATGTGTTCCCAAGGGAGGTGTAGAAGAGAGGGAATTGGGGTGTGCTTACCCTCTCGGGGGTGCTATTTTATTTTGCCTTTCTTTCTCTTCCACACGCTAATCCAAAATTATTTTTTTTAAGAGAGAATTTTGTTATGGGGCACATGCACTTGCAGAGAGAGAAAGAGACAGAAAGCAAGAAAGCACCCCTCCCCCCAGGGGGGATACCCATGCCACTGTCTCTTCTCCATTCTTTTGGGAATTTGGGCAAGCACACATGCACAACCTGCTGGGTCTGGGACTCAAACTGTGATCGACTGTGGGAGTCCAGTGACGTAACCATTGCACACCATCTGTTAATCCCTACATGTGCATTTTTTTTTTTTTTGGAGAGGTTTTTTCGCTGTAGGGCGCGTGCGCTCGCCAGACAGACAGAAAGAGAGAGATATAGAGACAGAAAGCAAGAAATCACCCCCCAGGGGGGATGGCCACGCCACAATCCCTTCTCCTCCAGTCTCCTCTCTGGATCTTGGGCACGCACGCACACGGGCCCGGCGTGAGTTTTAAGCCACCGGGTCCGGGACGCGAACCGCGGTCAACTACGTGGGAGTCCAGCGACATGGCCATTACGCTAACTGCTGGTTCCCTTCTTTTTTTTTTATTTATTTTTTTAAATTTGACCAGAGTGAGGCACAGAGAGCAAGCGGGAGTGAAAGTGCGATAGCAAGCCACTAGGTCCAGGACTCAAATTGTGGTTGGCCATGTGCAAGAGTGTAGTGCCTTAACCACAATGTCACCTACTAGTCCCCCACTTGGGCAAATTTTAAAAAGTCAAAAATAAAATAATTTTAAAGTAAAGAACATAAATTATTCTGCTGATGTTTATAGCTTGGACCTTTTTCATAACAATAAAGATTTGAGGGCAGAGACAGGAGGGCACCATTTTGTAATGCTTGAGCCACGTGGAAGACTGGTTTGGTGGACCAGAACCAGAAACACTCCAGGAATGCATGTGTAGACCTGTGATTCTGGCTAGCTGGAAGGAAGGGGACAGATTGCCTGTATTTCACGTGTTCTGTCTCTTTAAATAAGGTAAACCAAAAAACCCAAAAACTAAAAAGGTCGGAGATGGGACCAGCAGATGACATAATGGTTACGTTGCTGGGCTCCCAAGTAGTCAACTGTGGTTCCAGTCCTGGACCCAGTGGCTTAAAACTCAGGCCGGGCATGTGGGCGTATGTATCCAAAATCCTGAGAGGAGAATGGAGGAGGGATTGTGGCATGGCCATCCCCCCAGGGAGGTGAGTTCTCCCTTTCTGTCTGTTTCTCTCTCCAGAGAGTGCATGTGTTCTATTGCAAACGTCTCTTAAAAAAGAGGGGGGAGGCTAACAGGTGACATTGTGGTTAAGGGCGCTGGGCTCCCACATGGCCGACCTTGGTTTGAATTCTAGACCTGGTGGTTTGCTTCCTTACCCCCCCCCCTCCCCCCGGTCAAATTTAAATAAATTAAATTAAATTAAATAATTCTTTAAAAAAAGGTTGCCAATTGGGACCAGAGGTGGCATGATGGTTAAGGCACTGGACATTCCCACATGGCTGACCATGGTTCAAGTCCTCGGACCTGGTGGCTTGCTTTCTTACTCCCCCTCCTAGTCAAAATTAAAAATAAATGAATGAATAAATACAATTAATAAATAATTTTTAAAAAGGTTGTGGATTTGAGTTTGAAGTATTCTTTGAGAGACCATGTTCAAGAAAACTGATTGTAATAACATACTAGGATCATCTTCCCTAAACCTCTGTACATGAAAGAAGAAAGGTAAATATTCGGCCAGTCAGGAGTCATGGTGGTTAGGGCAACTGGATCTCATTTGGCTGATTATGTGGTTTCCACCCTGCACCCAGCAGCTTAAAAAACACATGCTGGCATGTGCATGCAGGTGGGTACGCATGCGCATGCATGTCCAAATGCTGACCAGAAAATAGAGAAGAGGTCGTAGCATAGATATCCCCTTTGGGTGGTGCCCTGTCACTTTCCCTCTCTCTGTCTTCGACAAGTGCACATGCCATGTAGCAAATTTAAAAAGTAAAAAAAAAAAAGGAAATTTTGGGGTGTTTTTTGAGTGCTCGTCAAGGGCAGGGAAAATGAAAAAACAGCTCCTAGGGCTATGACCCCACTGCAACCCCCTTTCCCTCCACTCTTCTCTTGGGTATTTCAGGGTTCTAGTTCCAAAACTCAAACCGAATAGTCATCCATGTGGGATCTAGCCACCTTAACCTCCATGTCATCTGCATGCCCCTTTCATGAATTTTTTGATAACCGTAGGTATTTTCTCCTTTTAAACAACTGAAAAGATACTTTAAAAAAAATCCCTATCAGTTGTGGAGGAATAAATACTTTGGGACCAGCCAGTGGCCTGGTTCGTGAGAAACGTGCTGGTTATACCTGTTCCCCAAAGTCCCCAAAAAGTGGGAGAAATGGGGAAGGGATTGCTGCATAACCATGTCCCACGGGGAGTGCTCTTTCTCTCTCTCCCCCTTCCCCACCCCTTACCACCCACTTCCACTGCCCCAAGAGCACATACCCACTGGTAAATTAAAAAAAAGAATATCTTTGCAAAACCACTAACTCAGTGAAAATGCTAGAATAAAGTAAGCCGACAATTACGTGACAGAAATTTATGTAAGAGAACTTTTGGGGAAAGTGGAGTGGTTCTCAAGGTGCCCTAAGCTGAGAAGTGGAGGATAAACAGAATCCTGTCTCCTCTGTCCCTTTGTTACCCTTCTCCCCCTGTGTCACCTGGGCAGCTTCAGACCTAAAGTACTTGACCAAGGACTTTTCAACACACACATACATGGACCAGCAGATGGCCTGATGATTACGTTGCTGGACTCCCATGTGGTTGACCGCGGTTTGAGTTCCGGACTC